TTTTAACCATTACCTACTACGCTACCACCCAATCAATCATAGATAGGATCGCTCCGCCCTCGATTTACTTCAATACTCATTTATTCCTTTATTTATTTTTTTCTTTTTTTTTCTTTTTTTTTCCTTTGAAATTCTTGTAATTTGAAAATACCTAGGATGTAATTAATTATTTTTAGACATTTTCAAATTTCAAAAATATTTCTAATTAATTATTTTTCGAAATTGTCAAAAATACATGGAATTAATTACTCTTTCTCGACATTTCTTCCTCGAACTTCAAAAATAATTCTAATTACTTTTTTTCGAATTTTTGTAATTCGACAATATTTCAGAATTAAATTCAATTAATTAAATTCTTTTTTGACATTTCTTTTTCGTAATTCGAAAATATTTCTAATTAATTCTTTTTGATTTTTTTGCTACGTACGGATCCGGGCCGCCCGGCCGACCGGGGCCTGCCCGGGCGGGCGGCCCGGTTGGGGGCCGGGGCCCCCCAGCACACCTTGTTGGCGGGGGGGTTCCGACCCCGAATCGGCAATATTTCGCCTCCCCAGGGCCTACCAGGTCCGACCACGCCGAGAAAACGGCGCGTCGGGCCCGTGAGGCCTGTTTTTTTTATTTTGAATTTGGGACGGCCCTCTAGCCGTCGATCATCCATGATCGACGGCCAGAGGGCCATTCGTTCTTGGAGCGAAAATGGAGGCCCCATTTGAACAAGCGACTGGCTGGGGCGGCCTGCATTGGCTGTCCAAACGGGGCCTCGATACCTGCTCCATCTGCCTGCGTTCGTCGTCGAGTCGCCCGTCGCCCGTCGCCAGCGTCGTCGATCGCGGTGCTCCTGCCTGCCAACAACCCCTGCTGCCCGTCGACGTGGAGTGCCGGTCTCTTCTTCTTCTTCTTCTTCTTCTTATTCTTCTTCTTCTTCCCTCCTCCTCCTCCTCCGCTCATTCTTCTGCTTCTTCTTCTCTCCTCCTCCTCCTCCCCCTCTCATCTTCTTCTTCTTCTTCTTCTTCTTCTTCTTCTTTTTCTTATACCTCTTCTGCTTTTCTTCTTCCACAACTGCTTCACTCCTCCTCCTCCTCCCCCTCTCATCTTATTCTTCTTCTTCTTCTTCATCTCTCGTTGTCGTCCTCCCCCTCATCTTCTTCTTATTATTCTTCTCTCCTCCTCCTCTTCCCACTATCTTCTTTTTCTTCTTTTTTTTGACATTCGTTAGCAATAGGTCGCGAGATAAACGACAGGTAAGAAGAAGAAAAAAAAAACTGCTCCGCTCGTCAGCTTCTTCTTCTTCTTCTTCTTCTTCGCCGATCATTCTTCCGCCTCTTGTCTCCTCCTCCTCCTCTCCCTCTCATCATCATCTTCTTCTTCTTCTTCTTCTTCTTCTTCTTGTAGGACCGCCGCCACAGCCCGCCACCATACCCCACCACCATACCATACCGCCCTGCCGCCGCCACCATCTTCTTCTTCTTCTTCTTCTTCTTGTAG